TTCTCCGCATGACCTTCTCACTCTATACAAGGGCCAGATAAGGCTTAGCCTCGAGTATTGCTTACACGCTTGGGGTGCTGCAGCTCTCTTTTACCGCTACGCCAACGGGCTTTGCTCTTCAGAGCTCTCTTACGTGATACTGCCGCGCGATGTGCCTGCCAGACAGATCCGTCTGTCTTTGGCGTCCTAACCGTGTCGAACTTCGTACATCCAGAACTGGCCGATACGACCGCTCCTTTGTCCCGAGGGTGTCGAGATTGTCGAACAATCTACAAGAGGAAGCTTTTCCGAGTTCTAATAACCTTAGGAAGTTCAAAAATCGGATTAACAAAATTTCTTTGGGATCATCATAGGATCATAGCAGCCGCGGTGTCCCGGCATTTAGGCTTCCGCCTGCGCGGCTGCTTCGGTATATAAAAAAGGTAAATAATGAGGTAAATAATAAATGTGTGCGTTGACGTAGAGCATCTCTGGCTTGCTTGATACAGAACTTCCTCCATCTAATATCTGTAATAACTATTGATTATTATAAGTCACTACAGAGTCTATTTAATAACTGAAATCATTTTTGTTGCTTGTGTTTATTTATCTCATCATTTTGACAGCTTGGATGTCCCATGCTGCTTGATAAGTAAGTGTAAACATTTAAAAATAAATGGGAAACGAATTGTATGTCAACGTACGTATCAACTTCTATCTTTGCCGGACTCATGTAGCAACAGCCTCTTGCATGCATCGTGTGTGATGAAGATCTTTGGTGGGATTTATGCGAACAGCGTTGCCGGACGTTCAAAAAAATACTCAGATACGCTATGTTTCAAAGTCTGGTTAAGTTAAATGTGGTAATATATCATCGTTAGTAGTAAAAAAATCTATACATGACTCGATGAAGGTTATTATCATCCTCCAATATCATATTCCTCGGCGCTATGCGCCCCACATTTTCCTGTACAGGTGTGTTACATACTATTATATCTGTCTGTCTTTCCGATCCTTTTAGACAATTATAGAGTGTTGTAACAACTGCCTGTATGGTTTTTCACAGCGGCGAGATCGCGGGAAACCACGCAATGCTGAAACCAGTTCATAAAAGATTATCTTCTTCCTCTTCTTCCTACCTTATTAAGAGGCTCATGCCTGTTTTACTTCGGCTTTTAGCCTCAATTGATGTTGTCTGACCACCTTTTCCTCGGTCGTCCCATTGATCGTCTTCAATTTGGCGATTTGTCTCTTGGTATTCGTACTGTTCTATTTTCTGTCATTCCTTCTTTGTGTTGATTCCATTCTATTTTTCTTCTTTTGGTCCACAGGTTTATTTTCTCTATACCACATCTCGCTCGTATTTCCTCTATTCTTACTGACTTTCATTTCTGCTGTTTCCAATAATCTTTGTGTTTCCGCCGTATCTGCTCTTCTTTCCGTTGTGTACGTCATTATCGGTCTTATTGTTGATTTATATGTCCTAGTTTTCGTTTCCGCTGTGAAGTATTTGTTTCTCCAGATTGTATTGTTGAGACATCCTGCTACTCTCTTCGCCATTTTCACTTGTTTTTGTACTTCTTCCACTTCTCCATAGCTTGACAGTTTGATTCCCAAGTATTCCGTTTCCATCACTTGTTCTATCAATTTGTTATTTGCGACCAGTTTACACCGTCTCGGTTGCGCTGATATCACTGTTGATTTAGTTTTCTCTGTTGAAAACGCCATGTTGTATATGAGCGCCGTATCTTCGAATTCTTTAATTAATCTTTGTAGGTCATCTTCATTTTCGGCTTTTTTTTTATACTCCAACTAACACGAAGGCCTAAGGCCTAAATACCCATTGGGTACCGTGGGGCTATAGGGGGATACAGGGAAAGGGGGAACGCCACACGGACTCTGACGAGGAAACACGTGTGCATGCAACATGCACACATTCTGGCTCCGCCTACGAGATCCGCTGGGTGGTACCTCCACGTTCGACAGTCAGAGACCGTCTACCGCCTACGGACAATCACAACATCCATAGCCAAGAGAAAAATTTCTCCTGGGACGGGACTCGAACCCGCACAGCGCACGGCGACTGGGAGGAGACCGAAGAGTCTACTACTGCGGCCACCACTGCCGCTATTATTATCGCGTTGTCGGCGTAGCATATTATCTGCATAAAAGATTACGTTCAGCATAAGTCAGACCCTCTGAGGAAAACGGATATATTAGTCCATAGTTTTCAGCTAGGTATATGATAACGCTGCAATCTAGAAATTTCTCTCCTGCCCTCCCGACAGTATATACCATCTGGCAACGTTGCTGAACCACGCCAGCCAGCCTTGAGCCAGCGTCAGCAGAGACAGATGTTCATAGAGTTACCGGGACTGGAAGCGTATATTGCGCAGCGGTCGGAAAGTGTAACAAATAACGTTACGCAATACAAATAACGTTACGCAATACAAATTCTCATTGTCTGGGTATCCGCAGGCGTAAGCTATCTTAAAGCAGGATGACACTCCCTTACGAGCGCTAGATGTGCATTGACCAAAATCGTGACACCATGATCATGGAGGTGGATTCTTTGCCTTGGAATGAACAAGATGCGGTGTTGCCGAACGAACCAATGATGCAATGTGGCAGAATTTGTGGCGATTCTGATCTTTGATTTCGACCTAAAATGGAGTGCCGTTAGGACCGATTCGGAATCGATCCGACACAATTCACAATTAAAAAATGTGTACTTTCAAAATAAAACCATTACTTGGGCGTAAAGAATAAACTAACGCATATTTTCAATATGAATCTTAATTCAAGGAACTGGTGTAACATGTTGGCAGCGCGGCAGATTCCCGTTGCGTTGCTGAGCAATGTGGCGATGACCTGGCTTCTATCTCTTTCTGATTTATGTTCCTATACACACATGGCTTTCGTACACATTGAACTCAAGCCGTCAGGCAAATTTGGTTTTTATATGTACTATCGCCAGTCGCAATTTTTTAAACCTACACAAATGTTGATGGAAATGATCAAAAGCATCTGAAACGTCAAAAAACGGAGATTGCGCGATTTTTGTTTCTATTGTTTTTTACATCTACTGGATAGAAACTACAATGTTTTTCCGTCCTTCGCTAAGTAGTAATATTGTGGAAAAGATTAATGAAGAACGGACAGACACAAAGATGGTCGGAAGTGACATTAACGTCCAAAAAGCAATATCCCATTTTTCGCGATTGCAATACTGACACTGAACGCAAAAATGTCACCGCGCATACCCAAAAAAGTCCAGGACCACTCGGTTTTTTCAAATACTCGGTGAGATTGGAAGTATTACACCCAGAAAAAGTAATTTTTTGGCAAATCGGATAGTTTCCTCCCCATCCGATCTCACGTATGTTCGATTGGATTTCAATCCGGTGAACGGGGTGACCACGGCAAAAAACATTAACGCCTGCTTCTTGAAGAAAGTCCGTAGATACGACTGTTAAGTGGTTTAAGGGACATCATTAACATAACGCGCAGCAGTCATATTGCCTTGAACAAAGAGAAGGCGTGATCGGCTACCATATTCAATGGCCCCAGACAGAATCGCGATTCGTCGCTGAAGATGACATTATGACATTTTGCCTTTGATGTTCTACATAGCATAGGGTAGAGTTGCCGAAACGAGATTTGGAATTTAGTTTTTAACGCTTCAGTGTGCTTCTGCCAGGTCATCCCCTTGTCGAGAGTGACACAGAGATACCTAGCAGAGCTTTCTTATGGTACCCGAGCTCCATTCACTGTAACCGCAGACGTGGCGCCGCTACGTTTCTTAGTACAATAGATTGTCTGCGTTTTCGAATGATTAATTTTCCAATAGCTCGTCCACTGCACTTTGCAGCCTGTCGTGAACTAGATCCCCAGAACACGACTGGACCACCAGAGCAGTGTCATCAGCATAGAGATGGATTTCGCAGTTGCTGGGTAAGGGACGTCATGAATAAAAAGTGAATAAAGGACTGGTCCAAGAACCGAACCCTGAGGGACACCGGCTTTGATGGGCCGTGTTGTCGACAGAACGTTATTAATTTTGATCCGAAATTTCCTACCCTCGAGGAAGGATTTCAAAAGTTTTAGGAGCCAGAAGGGGAAGCCATTATGGATCAATTTGTAGAGAAGGCCCTTGTGCCACACCTTCTCAAATGCCTTTGAGACAACCAGAAGCAAGATGCCAGTACTTTCATTACGGGTGAACCCCCTGGTTACTCGTTCAACAAGCCTAATGGCCTGTAGCTTGGTACTCTGCTCATACCGAAAGCCAAATTGCACGTCAGGAATCACATTGTGGTCTGACACGAAATTTTCAAGAGGACGTAGAATCACCTTTTCAGCGAGCTTAGAAGGAGCTGACAGTAGACTAATGGAGCGGTAATCCTGAGGGAATATCGAACCCACCTTCTTTGGAATCACTATGAGATCAGCGGCCTTCCACGCCGCTGGAAAGTGCTGGGTCCTTAACATGGCATTGATTATTGCCATGAGATAAGTTAAGGACTACCGCGAAAGTAGCTTCAGCGCCTTATTAGTGATTCGATCCTCTCCAGGTGCTTTACGCACCTTGAGGTCTTTAATATGAACTTGAAGCTCTGCTGGTGTGCAATGCGGAGTCTCAGGAGATTCCGCTGATGACGCAACACTAGTAAATGAAAGGGCAATAACTAAAAGTATCTGTACTACTAAGCTCTCAGAAATCGCTTTGTTCACAAAAACTAAGAGACAACATTTTAGCAAAGATAAACCTATATACAAACTTACCTGCTAATGGAATCGCAAACTCCTCTTTCACCTATGTATCCACGTCAAGTATGAACCTCTAAATGTTGAAATTTTAATGCATTCATTCGCGCCTCTTTTATGGAAACATTTGTCGCAGATGAAAAGCGATTTTAATGCAATAAATCCATCAGGAGCGCACTCAAATGAAAATGCATTTAAAATGTGATTTATGAGCGTTGCGATCTATGAAATTAATATGCGGGAAATATGATTTACTATTTATCGAGGTCGTTGTCTGATTCTGAATTCGGTGCCGGTGTGAAACTTGCAAATTTTGTTGTGGAAATAGCTTCGAAGGAAAATGAGTTAACTATTTTCACCCCAGACAGACGCAAATATCTGAAAGATAGAAGATAGATAGAAGAATGTATCGACAGTTTTAGAAAAAAATATTGATGTATAAAAACATCGTATTAGAGAACATCGAAAGATCGAAACATCGATGTTTTTACCCTCAGTAGGAAGGTTATGCGCGTGGGTATGTGAGTTTTCAAGAAATTGTATCGCACGAGTTCCAGGACAAACGGCCTAATGAATTTTGACATATGAGGTGTCATAATCATTAAAGTCCATCATGTGTCAAACTTCATGAAGCCGCTTAAGCTGTAGCTCGTAAAATAGGAATACAAATGTTTAACTCATTAATTGAGTAGGTATTTTTATTTTTTCTTTTTCTGCACTGCCACGCAAAATTAACCGGACAAAACAAATTTTTTACATATTGAATTTTAAATAACTTTTTAGCCTTTGCATCAACTTCGTTAATTTTTTCATCAAGTTGTAGGTACTTTCGTTGTCATCATTATCGACTACCGATCTTGCAGAAAATTGAAAACGTTTCTTGTTATACAGTCTGTAACTGAAAGGTGCATTTCGCCCTAAACTTCTGAACACCCTGTGGAAATATTGGATTACTGAATGGTGTGTCTTCGTATGACAATTTTAAGCCTCAACTTTTCTCAATAGTTGTTTTTTCGATCCATGTCAATATCTCAATTATTGAAGAATATATGCGGTTTTGAAGAAAATCATGCGAATCATAGCCATAAACAAGAAATTGTTTCAAGTAGGTTGTGTCTGCTAGCATGTTTATGGCATGTCAAAAAGATTCTTGTCAAGCAATACTCAACAAAGATGACACTGGCACGGGTATCACGTATCTTGAAAAGTGACATTATGCCGATTTTTTTTGACATTGTGCTGTTTTTTTACATTATGTAGGTTATTCTACAACATGTTAACTTAGCACTTAGTTGTACGTGTTGCCTAAATGTCATGAGGCTTATTATCAATCTTTGGCTCTGATGTGATGTATACGTTAATATGCTTCTAAGATGGTATTACTGGAGGTCTAAGCTGTAAGTTGTATGTGTTGATGATAATTACGTTGGGTTCTTGTCTCAAATACACTTAAATAAGATTAAAAGCTAGAAATTAGTTGCGCATCCACTTTTTCTTATCCATTCTGGAAATTACATATACACATTTGCTGAATTTCAAAAATGAGAGAGATAAGAAATAATGATATTCACTGTACACTATCGAATTACAACCCATATCACCCATATCACTGATTTTATATACATGCAGACCAGTTCACATAATCATCCAGATGCGTTCTTGCTATTCTACCAACTTTCTTCTCAGAGATAAAATCATTGACGTCTTACCCACGGTAAGACGTCATTAGATAAAAACTACAGACCTGGATAACGCAGCCTCACAAGACTATGCAACCAATAGTGCGTAGTTTAGTCGAGTGATTCCTCCATAGATGGACGTTCACAACGATCCCATTTTAGCAAACGTGGAATGACTGTTTGCGCCCTAAAAGCTACCTAGTCTGTAAGTTGATATCATATATGTTTCTTTTAACGTTTTTTACATGATGCGCGTGCGGAACAAGTAGCGCAAGCAGTAACTTAACAGGAAGATGGTCGTCCTATGCGGTATATCGTAGAAAGGCTTGCCGTTCCACGCAGTGCGGCATTCGATGCGATACAAAGATTTAGAGACACTGTTCCCTACTCAAGAAGACCTGGGCAGGGAAGACGGAAAGCAGCAAAATTAGTTGAAGTTCGATTTCTGAGACTTCAAGCTCTTCGAGAAAGGACAGTTCTTGCTACGGCTTTGACTTGAAGATTGGATGATGTTCATGGTACCATAGTTTTACCTGATACCGTTGAGAGAAGGAAACCTATCATCTTGTGTATCTGCTACAGGTCCCCTATTGGATGTAGATCATCGAAGGCAGCGCTTGGTATTTTATAGAGCTCATGCAGATTGGGATATAGACGACTGGAAAAACGTTGTTTTTGCAAACGAGTCTTGTTTTAAGAGATATTCACCTAATGGTCGCCAAAGAGAGGAGAGGGCGTGGGGAACGCTATGCTCAAAGCTGTTTCGCTCCTAGAGTGCAATCTGGTGGTGGAGGAGTGATGGTATATGGCGGTATTGGGTTCCCGCACAGATCTTGATTCACTACGAGGGGGACACCTTACTGCCGACAGGTACATTACAGAGTGTTTGGAAGAACATGTGGTTCCTCATATGTTTTATATAGGAAAAAAAAATCTCCTAATGCAAGATAATGCTCGGCCGCATATAGCCAGAATGACTATGATGTTGGAATTCAAGTACTAGACTGGCCGCCAAGGAGTCCGGATCTCAACCCCATTGAGCACATGTGGGATACATTAGGAAGAAGGCGTAGGCAGAACTATAGAGAATCTCAAACTGTGGCTGCGTTGGAACAGGCGCTGGTGAACGAGTGGGAGCAAACACCCCAAGACACAATAGCTATATAGTTTAATTGAGTCTATGCCACAGAGAATGGAAGCTGTTATTCAAGCAAGGCGAGGAAATACTGGTTTTTGGTAACAATTTCTAATTACCAATGATGTCACTGTAGTTTTTTAAGTTAAATTGGTCATGATTATGATTCGCATAGTTTCCTGATCAATGTTGTCATTGTAATTTTTTAAATTAAATTGGTTATGGCTATGATTCGCATGATTTTCTTCAAAACAGCATATATTCTTCATAATAATTGAGATATTGACATGAATAAAAAAGGACTGCTGAGAAAGGTTGAGGCTTGAAATTCTTATACGAAGACACATTATTCAGTTATTCAATGTTTCCGCAGGGTGTTCAGAAGTTTAGGGAAAAATGCACCTTCTAGTATAACAACAAACATTTTCAATTTCTCTGCAAGATCGGCAGTCGATCATGGTAACAATGAAATTGCCTACAACTTGACGAAAAAATTAACGTAATTGATGCAACGGTTAAAAAGTTAATATTAAATTTAATTTGGATAAAAAATTTATTTTGTTCGGTTAATTTTGCGTGGCAGCATTTTCTAGTGAATTCATCACAGTGGTTATTCAGGTTGGCCCAATCGTTCACGAATGGTATATTATAACTAAAACTTTGCCTGTGTTTATTTAATACTAGTAAAAAATAACTCTTCGTTTTTGTTCTGGATACGGTAACTCTCAAGGTACAACACAAGACATAGGTGAAAGAGAAGCAGCAATAACTGGGTTTCATAATTTCTCTTAACTGCTTGGACGCTGGACTGGCGCAAATAATATACAACCTCTCCGATATCAGCTGCTTAAAAAAAACTACCCCAAATCGTTGGCCTGAAACAATGGGTGATTTTTTGCTAGTATCTTTTTGGCAACACTGTTTTTGACAGATGACGCGTGAATTGTGTCTTGTGTCATTGTCAAACTTGTTCAGTTTGGTCTATAATTTAACCATGAATCGACTTACGAACGAACAACGCTGGTAAATTATTGAATTTTACTATCAAAATTCATGCTCGATTAAGAGAGTGCATCGAGCACTGCTTCCAATTTATGGGCAATTTGGTCGGCCTACTGAGGGAGCTATTCGGAAGCTTGTGACTAAATTTCAAACCCAGTTCACATTATTGGACATTAAACCACCAACATGCAGACGTAGAGTGAGCACTGAAGAAAATATTGCGGCTGTATCCGCCAGTGTTAGTGATGACCGTGAAATGTCGATTCGCCGCCGTTCGCAGCAATTGGGCCTCTGTTACTCCACTACGTGGAAAATTTTGCGACAGGATTTGGGTGTAAAACCTTATAAGATACAGCTGGTGCAAGAATTGAAGCCACACGACCTCCCAAAACGTTTCCCATTTGGTGAATGGGCGCTGGCAAAGTTGGAGGAAGATCCACATTTTTATCGAAACATTGTGTTCAGCGACGAAGCTCATTTCTGGTTGAATGGGTACGTTAACCAGCAAAATTGCCGCATCTGGAGTGAAGACCAGCCAGAACATTGCAAGAGCTACCAATGCATCCCGAAAAAATATCTGTTTGGTGTGGATTATGGGCCGGTGGCATCATCGGGCCGTACTTCTTCAAAGACGACAATGGCCGGAACGTAACTGTGAATGGCGAGCGCTACCGTGCAATGATAACAAACTTTTTTTTGCCCAAAATGGAAGAGCTGGACTTGGCTGACATGTGGTTTCAACAAGACGGTGCCACATGCCACAGCGCACACGAAACAATGGCCCTATTGAGAGGCGAGTTCGGTGAACAGTTTATCTCACGTTTGGGGCCCGTCAATTGGCCGCCTAGATCGTGTAATTTAACGCCGTTGGACTATTTCTTGTGGGGCCATGTTAAGGCTAATGTCTACAGGGATAAACCAGCAACGATTGACGCACTGGAAGCCAGTATTGAAGCATTTATTCGTATGATACCGGCCGATATGTTGGAGAGAGTGTGACAAAATTGGACCTTGCGCATGGGCCATCTAAAGCGGAGCCGCGGCCAACATTTACATGAAATAATCTTTAAACATTAAATTATATCGACCGTTCTATCGACTCAAATAAAGATTTAATCGTTTTTTCAAATTTTTTGTGTTTTTTTTGAAAATCAAATCCTATACCTCTTAAAAAATCATCCGTTATTTGCATTCCAAGAGTTAAGCGTAGCTTGTCTTGAAAGTGCTGAACATGTTTGAACTTTTATCACCTTCGTATTTCCAGCGTGGTTCCTGCTGGTCGGACTTGTTTTCAGCATAGGCTTTCCAATTAATGGCACAAATTGAGCGTGACGTAGGTATATAGATGGGGATCGTTACCGATGCTGATTGTGTTGTGCTGTTAAATAGCAAAGTAAAAATGTTTGTTGTAACGTATACACAGAAAGCGGATAGCGCGAAGAGAGTGTGGGTCAAGCCAAAGCGAGATTTAATTACCATTCCTGTCGGTCCTCTATTAATTATCGTCCCCCACGTTGACCCGTTCGTCCTTTGTTTTCATGTTAGCTGGTGTTGTCTGGTGA